CCACTATTACCTTGTGTGCGTGAGTTTTCGGCTGGTGCTGGAAGCTGAGGAGGCAGAGGCCTGAGGCCTGTTTTGCTCTGTGATGGACTCAAGGGATGTGAATTCAGGCTTCCCTGGACCCCTGATATCTTAAGGGCTGTCACAATGAAGAGGGAGCAAGCTTGTTTTCTCCTGCTCTGGCGGGTAGGACTCGAACCCATGGCTTCAAGTTGCAAAGAAAGGAGATTCCGACTAAACATACAGAAAAACCTGACAGTCAGAGCTGTTTGACAGTGGAAGAGTCCCCCTCAGGGGGACTCTCCTTTCTTGGAGGTTTTAAAAGCAGAGGTTGGATGGCCCTCTGCCATGGATGCTTTAGCTGAGATTCCTGCATTGCACGGGGTTGGACTAGATGACCCTGGGTGTCCCTTCCAACTCTATGATTCTAATGGGGAAGGAAGTTCTCTTGAGGCCTTAATGCTGCGAGTCCCTCCGTCCTCTGCTCAGGTTGTATGTATGGATATACAGTGGTACCTCGAGTTAAGAACTTAATTCGTTCTGGAGGTCTGTTCTTAACCTGAAACTGTTCTCAACCTGAGGTACCACTTTAGCTAATGGGGCCTCTCACTGCCGCCGCGCCGCCGCCGCACGATTTCTGTTCTCATCCTGAAGGAAAGTTCTGAACCTGAGGTATTTTTTCTGGGTTAGCGGAGTCTGTAACCTGAAGCGTCTGTAACCTGAAGCGTCTGTAACCCGAGGGTACCACTGCACATCTTTGGGGGAAAATCCACCACCACCAAAAACATGCATCATAGATATGGTCGGTATGTAAAAGAAAAGTGAAGATGTGTAAATATAGATTTTACAATACAGTGGTACCTCGGGTTAAGTACTTAATTCGTTCCGGAGGTCCGTTCTTAACCTGAAACTGTTCTTAACCCGAGGTACCACTTTAGCTAATGGGGCCTCCTGCTGCTGCTGCACCGCCGCCGCCCGATTTCTGTTCTAATCCTGAAGCAAAGTTCTTAACCCGAGGTAATATTTCTGGGTTAGCGGAGTCTGTAACCTGAAGTGTATGTAACCCGAGGTACTGAAAACACACAGAGAGCAGAGCGCCTTTTTTTGTTAGCGTAAGGTTCCTGGCATGTCCAGTGAAAAAGAGCTTGAGTCCAGAGGGTTGGGAAATCCTTTGGGCTACGTCACTGTGCTCCGTGGGCCAATGTTCTGGTCTGGTACAATACTTCCTAATGCAAGCTAGTGGAAAATCCTTTTGGCTTGGTGTAAGTGCCCCCACCTCCACTGCAAATCTCAAAGATGGGAGGTTATCCCCTTGCCCCATGAATGCCCACTTGACCGCTTTGATTTACGGAACTGGTTCTGTTATGTACTGAAGTTCTCACCAGCAGGGGGATACTGTAGATAGTTTTCACTCAGGTCCGCATATGCAAATACAGTGGTGCCCCGCAAGACGAATGCCTCGCAAGACGGAAAACCCGCTAGAAGAAAAGGGTTTTCCGTTTTTGAGTTGCTTCGCAAGACGATTTCCCCTATGGGCTTGCTTCGCAAGACGGAAACGTCTTGCGAGCCTTGCAATTTTTTCCCACTTTCCCCCCCCTTTTTCTAAGCCGCTAATAGCCTTTAATAGCCGCTAAGCCGCTAACCTAATAGCGCTAAGCCGCTAAGCCGCTAATAGGCTTGCTTTGCAAGACGAAAAAACCGCTAGACGAAGAGACTCGCGGAACGGATTATTTTCGTCTTGCGAGGCACCACTGTAAGGAATTGAAAGTGACGTTCGGTGATTGGATAGTTACAGAAAGTGGTTACTGTTGCTTTGTATTTGAGCTCTCTATATGTAGGTTGGCTGAACCCTTCAGTTCAGTTCTGTTCTGGCCTGTGAATAAACAAGAGCTGTCTGAAGAATAGCTGTGTCGTCTAATATGTTCACCTACAACTTAACAGGTTCTATTATAGCTGCTATGTAAGACTTGTTCTGTGTTGCCAAGAAACTGATCTTTTAGCAGGCTAGCACCCGCACTTTGGAACTCCCTGCCTATTGATAACGTAGAATTATAGAGTTGGAAGGGACCCTGAGGATCATCTAGTCCAACCCCCCTGCAATGCAGGAATATGCCGCTGTCCCATTGGGGGATCGAACCTGCAACCTTGGCATTATCAGCAGCACGCTCTAACCAACTGAGCTACCAGGCAGGCACCTTCACAGTACTCTTTTTGGCTCCTGCTTGCTAGGACAAGTCTGCCCAGATACACAGAAAATTGTAAAAAGTGTTTTAATCTGTTTTTCACTGATCATTAATTGCAATCATCACTGCATTATTTCAACAGCTGCTTTAACTGGTTTTATCGATAATTTCCTGTTTTATTCTTTTTTGTAAACAGCTTTGAGTTTTTCCCCTCTCCTTACGATCAAGTGTATATAAATTTTATGAAACCTATAAAATATCCAAGCTAGTAGGCCTAGCCTTGTCACCATTTCTTCACACAGCACCATTAACTTGCCTGCGGCTGCACAAAGTGTGAGAGGGTGGGTCCCTGCCCCGATGAGATTACAGTCTGTGATTCAGCACAGGGGAAACAACAGACAAAGAAGAGGGAATGGAGTCAAGGTTAAGGAGTGGAAAGGAAAACTTTTTTAAAAAAATTGTAAATATTTTTTATTTTCCAATAAGCATCTTCCAATTATCAAATCAAATCAAATCAATCAATTATCACCAATTATAAATTCCAGATTAATTTCCAGGATAACTTTTTGATTAAGCTGCATGCATTTGGACTTACCCAACGTTAGTCCTGCTCAGAGTAGACCCATTGAAATTAATGGACCAGATAAAATCCAGCGGAGTAGGAAGCCAAAGATGCCATAGAAAATGTGGGCTTCTGAACATGTTTTAACCCCTAGTAATAATTCTTTCGAAATGTATCTGTTGGTCAACTGGAATATGGAGGTGGTTACTGCAAATCACTCCAAGTAGACCCTCCAAGTGTCCCTATTTTCCAGGGACAATCCCGGATTTACAGAAGCCATTCAGGTTTCCAATTTGATCCCGGAATGTCCCTCTTTTCCTTGGGACGTCCCTATTTTCACCAGAGAAACGTGAAATGGAGATATGCAACCTGCAAGCCAAGGAAATAAGTAACTCTAAAACCTTAAGAAGGATGCGGGTGGCGCTGTGGGTTAAACCACAGAGCCTAGGACTTGCTGATCAGAAGGTCGGCGGTTTGAATCCCCGCAACGGGGTGAGCTCCCGTTGCTCGGTCCCTGCTCCTGCCAACCTAGCAGTTCGAAAGCATGTCAAAGTGCAAGTAGATAAATAGGTACCGCTCCGGCAGGAAGGAAAACGGCGTTTCCGTGCGCTGCTCTGGTTCGCCAGAAGTGGCTTAGTCATGCTGGCCACATGACCCGGAAGCTGTACGCCAGCTCCCGTGGCCAATAAAGCGAGATGAGCGCCGCAACCCCAGAGTCAGCCACGACTGGACCTAATTGTCAGGGGTCCCTTTACCTTTACCTTTAAAACCTTAAGAAGACATCTGGAGGTAGCCCTGTATAGGGGGGCTTTTAATTTTTTTTTAATGTTTAATGTTTTCATATATATTGGAAGCCACTAAGAGTAGCTGCGATAACCCAGGCAGATGTCTGGAGTATTAATAAATAATAATATAGAACATCCCTATTTCATTAGAGAAATGTTGGAGGGTATGAAGCCATTGTCCGTTTCCCAGCGTCGCACCATTATGCAGGATTGAACCCTGAAACAGGAAAAGGAAGCCTGCTCTCTGAATTCTACGCCATTCACAGTCAGTTTTGCTTGTTTAAAGTTGTGCCTCTCTGTGCTGTTGTGTGGCGATGCTTTCACAGTCCACACCGCTTTGTCTCTTCCGACATGCAGGAGCTGCTTTCTGAGCTACCGTGAGTCCTGGCTTTCCTCGTGCAAATGGTGTTGTGTGTGGCAGGAATCTAGCATCAAGACTCAGCGCTGACATAGCAAGGCAATACCCAACGTACTGCTGGCGCACTGTAGCACTGCACATGGTTTAGCTCTCGATCGCTCCCATATAAACGTCCGTGCAGACTTGATGTCAAACTGACCCGTTGCAGCGCTCACAGATTCAGTTTTACTTGCATCAGATAAAATGCCCCGTGCTGCTTTCCCTCCAGGAAGCCCACCTTGTGAACAAAATCGCAATTTGGCAAAATCTCTCCAGACCAGAAAGGCCATTTATTTCCTGTGGCTCCTGGTATCCACTTATGGTGCCCAATGGTCATTTGAGAAGGGACCTGTTAAAGGTAAAGGGACTCCTGACCATTAGGTCCAGTCGTGACCGACTCTGGGGTTGTGGCGCTCATCTCGCTTTATTGGCTGAGGGAGCCGGCATAAAGTTTCTGGGTCATGTGGCCAGCAGGACTATGCGGCCCAGAGGTGCTGGAAGACTCAGTGGCTACAGGTGAGCCTCCCCCGGGGCCCAGTAACCCTTCGGCCTCTCCCCAGAAGCCCCGCCTCTCTTGGCCTTAAGGCGAGCACTCCTCCTGGGAGACACCAGTTCCCTTCGCCTCTCTGCCCTAAGCCTCTGCAGATCAGGAGAGGCCGAAGGGTTACTGGGCCCCGGGGGAGGCTCACCTGTAGCCACTGAGTCTTCCAGCACCTCTGGGGCCAGAATGGTTTCACCTGGTGCCTGCTCTTGAGGTTCCTCAGCATCTAGGCCTTGCCCCAGTTCAGCCGGCCCTGGAGGCGGGGACTCCTGTGCTGGCTGGGATTCCTCCGGATCGCTCTCAGACTCGGAATCCCAGGCCATCACAACAAGACTGAATCTCAGGGTCCTGGGTTCAAGTCCTATGTAGGGCAAAAGATTCCTGCATTGCAGCGGGTTGGACTAGATGACCCTCGTGGTCCCTTCCAACTATTCTGAAGAGCTCACACCCTCTTCTTTGCTGCTGCAATCGTTACCTCTTCAACCCTTGATCTCACTGCTGACTTACAAGTTCTTGCTGCTTTTCTGTCTTCCAGGGAGCCTCAACATTCAGCCATGACGGACACGGTCGTTGGCAACAGCACTGGTCAGTGGATGTATCAGAATGATAGACAGATGGCTCTTCGGGGCGGGTAAGAGGATTTCCTGGCCTTTGACTCTCTCCACTTCCGCCAACCACCTGCCAGCTGATTTGTATATTATATCACAGCTTGTGTGGAACATACGTTTTGGGGGTGGCACATATACAAAAAAACACATATACTTGAATCGCACACCCCGTCCTGACTTTCCAGAGCTGGCAAACTGAGTGGGCCTTATCCCTGCACCCCGCCCCCCAGGCAAGGCAGAGAGCTTTTAAACTCTCCTCCTTGCTTTCCAGGCAAGGCCCGTTCAGTGCACAGACTTCGGGGTGCTCTCATGAGATCTCCTGGAGCCGTCGGAGTTCCCATGGGATGTCATGAGAGCATCCCAGGGCCCCTCTCCAAGTGGAACTTGCATGTAAAGCAAGGCGCAGAGCTTAAACTCAGCCAGATGGGCGGGGTATAAATAATAAATTATTATTATTAAATAAAACCTGATGCAAAAGGAGCTTTTAAGCTCTCCGCTTTGCAGCGGCCAGTTTTCAACTGTGCAAAGGTTGGAGTTGTGCAAGTTAGTTGTGCATGAGATATGATCATACTGCTTAATAATGTGTGTGTTGTGTTTGTGCCTGCTGGGATTCAACAGGCATGCGCAGGACCTGGAAGAATGTGCTATCGGTTGCGTAATTTAGCTGCCAGAGAATCAGAGGTTTCATTCCTCGTTTCTAAGGCTTATTTCTTTAGAGAACCAGTTTCACCCCACTCTTTAGCCAAAAAAATGTGGTTTGCAAGATCAGTTGTAAAGACTTACAATAAAAAAGACATGACACACAAGGAAAAGGGGATGGGGAGGGAGGAGGGGAAAAGTGAGCTCATGCAGCAGTTCTCGGCATTAACGGTTGTTATAATGCTGCAAAGATCTGTTTGAATTATGCATCATGGCTGTCACCTATTGAAATATCAGCAGCCTGAGGAGGTAGTTGATCAAGGGAGCTTGTGTGTGTGTTCTTCAGTGCTCTGCAGAGCTTCTTTCTTCCTTCCTGTGATAAGCAAAGCAAACCAGAATAAAATGCACAAATTGGTAGGAACACTGTGCAAAAGAAGGGGAAACAGGGATCATGAATGCAGGTTGCGGAATTAAGCCTGTCTGGTTGCAGGATGTTGATACCTTTCAAAGAAGAACCCAAGAAGAGCCTTGCTAATTCCAGCTTTGGCAGGTCCTGACAGCAACTGTGTGTGTGTGTGTGTGTGTGTGTGTGTGTGTGTGGAGTGAGGAGACCTTTAAACACGGACAGCACCTCTGGTCCACCAGCAGTGATCAGAAGCGTTGCTGGAAAAGCTAAAATTGTGACGCGAGTCTCTCTTCACCCAGCCACCCATGGCCTAATTTAATTTTGCCCGTTAATTCCGATCCTTAAACTGCCATCTATCTCAAGTCATCCCTCAGCTTGGCAGCGGGATTAAATTTAAATGATGTATGCAGCTATTCCCTTGCCAGAAGTGTTTGCTCCTTATCAGACTGGATTCCAGGAGCCGCTAATGACCCGAGGGGAGGGGGAGAGAGGCAGAGAGTCCAGTAGATGTTAAATTGTTTGCAGATCATTGTCAGAGGGCACAGAATGTAAGGAAACTGATAGCCATGATGTTGTTGGTTGACCGTGGGGAAATGCCAAGTTGGCGTGGGTTTAATTGGGGAGTCCCAGAGTTCCAATGTGCACATTCATGGGCTCTGAACTAGCAGTGGCAGACCTGGAAGGAGACCTCGGGGTCACAATAGACAAGAAGAAGAAGAAGAAGAGTTTGGATTTGATATCCCGCTTTATCACTACCCGAAGGAGTCTCAAAGCGGCTAACATTCTCCTTTCCCTTCCTCCCCCACAACAAACACTCTGTGAGGTGAGTGGGGCTGAGAGACTTCAAAGAAGTATGACTAGCCCAAGGTCACCCAGCAGCTGCATGTGGAGGAGCGGGGAATCGAACCCTGTTCACCAGATTACGAGTCCACCTCTCTGTACCACTACACCATGCTGACTCAGTGAAGATGTTGACACAGTGTGTGGCAACTTTGGGAGGGGGGGAAAGGCAAATTGCACCCTAGGGATCATTAGGCAAGGAATTGAAAATAAAACTGCCAATAGATGGCGAGCAGATATGATAACCATCTTCACATATCTAAAGTGCTGTCACGTAGAAGATGGAGCAAGCTTGTTTTCTCCTACTCCAGAAAGTTACTTACCAGAAAGGAGATTCGGACTAAACATCAGGAAGATCTTTCTGACACCAAGAGCTGTTCAACAGTGGTACACTATCACGGTCCGGTTCACGGGCGATCGAAGTCCTGGCTGGGGAAGTCGGGACTGGGGGCAAGATGGTGGGGTGGGAGCAGGAATGGGAGTCAGGAAGCCAGGAGTCAGGAAGCCAAGAGTCCGAGGATCAAGAAGCAAGGAGTCAAGAAGTCAAAGGTCCGAGGATCAAGAAGCAAGGAGTCAAGAAGTCAAAGGTCCGAGGATCAAGAAGCAAGGAGTCACGAAGTCAGGGGTCCGAGGATCAAGAAGCAAGGAGTCAAGAAGTCAAAGGTCCGAGGATCAAGAAGCAAGGAGTCACGAAGTCAGGGGTCCGAGGATCAAGAAGTAAGGAGTCAAGAAGTCAAGGGTCCGAGGATCAAGAAGTAAGGAGTCAAGAAGTCAAGGGTCCGAGGATCAAGGAGCAAGGAGACAAGGAGCCAAATGTAGCAAGGCAGGGAATGTGTTGCTGTGGCAAAGAGCCAAAGGGAAAATGCTGACCTTATATCCCTTCCCAGCTCTTGACACCAGGTGCTGTGAGTTACCAATCGGCCTCACCTGTGAGGCCACGCTGCAAAGTCCTATTGGTCACAGGGACTGGCTCCTGCATGGACACCTGAAATACAGACTCCCTCAAGAGGTTGTGGACTCGCCTTCTTTTGAGGTTTTTAAGCAGAGGTTGGAAGTCAGGGGTCCATTATACAAATCTATGGTACGACTGCATTTGGAGTAATGTGTAAAGTTCTGGCCACCTCCCTTCGAAAGGGATATTGCAGAATTTTTAGTTTAGAGAAGAGGGGGAAGTCTGATAACTGGAACTCATGAACATCCAAAGAAAGTGAATATTAGAAGATTCAGGGCACGTAAAAGGAAATGAGGCAGTGATGGCCACCAGCTTGGGCAAATTCATGGAGGAGAGGGCTATTGATGGCTACCAGCCAGGATGGCTCTGCCCTTCCTCTACAGCTGAAGTCAGCAATGTTTCTGAATACTACTACTACTACTACTACTAATAATAATAATAATGTATTTATACCCCACCCTCCCCAGCCAAGACGTCTAACACCAAGTATAAAAACAATTGATTGAAATGCATCTTAAAAACAAGATTAAAATACAACATTAAAATGCAGCCTCATTTCAGTAGGAACTCAAATCTAAAACTTTTTTGAGGATGAAAATGTCAAGTCTTCACCATGGCCAACTATCCAGACTGCTCCTTCGTGGGCCGGAAAAAAGCCAGGGAAGTCCCCAAATAGAAAGGAAAAAGGATAGAGGGGAAGGGGATCAAGTTGATCCCAAGCCAAAGGCCAGGCGGAACAACTCTGTCTTCCAGGCCCTGCGGAAATAAATCAGATCCTGCAGGGCCCTGGTCTCATGAGACAGAGCGTTCCACCAGGCTGGAGCCAGTGTTGAAAAGGCCCTGGCTCTGGTTGAGGCTAATCTGACTTCCTTAGGGCCCGGGACCTCTAGGGTGTTGTTATTTATGGACCTTAAGGTCCTCCATGGGGCATATTGGGAGAGGCGGTCCCTTAGGTACGAGGGTCCTAGGCCGTGAAGGGCTTTAAAGGTTAAAACCAGCAGGAAGCCACAGGAAGGGAGAGTGTCGCTCTTGGACTTAGGTCCTTCCTGTGGGATGTCCTCTGAGGGTTTTTGTCTGGTACCAGGTCAGGGCAAGGTATGACGTCAACCTGCCGAATTCCCAGTCACACACAGGACTTCCATCTTACAGTAATCTCCTTGGGTTGATTAGCCCTTACCTAGACCGCCACTAACTGCAGACGTGTGTCCAGGACTTGATCAGCCTCCCCTTATTCAGCCATGGCCGAGAAATATTAGCGTCCTTTGATGATGTTTGTTTGGTGCAATAATGTATTTGACTTTTTCCCTCTTCCTTTCCTCCCCCCACGCTGCTTTGAAGCGGAAAAGAACAGTAAGTCCTCTGTTTATCTGTTGTGCATTTAGTTCACATATACACTCATGGCATCTGGCTGGTGGGGACTGATTGATAGCTTGATGAAAATGGGGACACAAGTGTTACCGATCGGTAGGAAATGAAGTGAAAATAAACTGCCAATTAATATCATGATAAAGGTAAAGGGACCCCTGACTGTTAAGTCCAGTCGTGGACGACTGTGGGGTTGAGGCGCTCATCTCGCTTTACTGGCCGAGGGAGCTGGCGTTTGTCCGCAGACAGCTTCCGGGTCATGTGGCTAGCATGACTAAGCTGCTTCTGGCGAACCAGAGCAGTGCACGGAAACGCTGCTTACCTTCCTGCCGGAGCGGTACCTATTTATCTACTTGCACTTTGATGTGATTTTTTTTTTATATAAAATTTTTATTGGTTTTTCACATTTTATAAAGACATAACACACACATAAAAGACAAAGACAAAAACACGTATAATTTCAAAGATCTTACTTTCTTAACTTCGGTCCTTGACTTCCCCCCACCCCCCCTTCATGCATCCCAATTCCCATAATTGTGTCAGCAAGTTATCATTTTCCCTTCTTACCATGTTAATATTACATCTTTTATAAAAAAAATTAATTCTTATCCTAAGTTGAACTCAAATTCCCTTCCATCGATTTCACAATTTTTATGAAATATAAACATATTGACTGAACCCAAAAAACATAAGTGGTTTTTTTTGTTGTTTTTTTTTTAAAAGAAAAATTTCTGTTTTCCCCCCTCCCATCCCCGGTTTCCGTCCCTTCCAAATATATGTCCAAGATAACAGTCCTTAGCCTGGATTCCTCACATCCGAGGCCTTCCAGTCTCTTTCCGTTCCTCTCCGCCGAATTTGTTGGTAGTCCTTCATGTTGGTCTTTGGATCTCTAAGGAGTTCTGTCCCAATCAAGCCAGATTTTATTCCCTCAGAAGCGCTTAAAGAGAACTGCTGCAAAAGTTCCACCAATCCTTCATATTCGAGGTCAGAATGGAGGCCCCAGTCATATTTCTTCTTTCTTTTGAGTTCTTGAATTCCAAGTATTCCAGGGGCTTCCTCCTTCATCTTTCGCTTCTTTTGCAGATTTATAATTCATGTAATCCAAAGGTCTTTTTGTTTGTAATCCACTTGTGTAGGCTTCTGGTTGGTACTTTCCATCTGTGCTCTCTCCTTTGCTTGTTTTGTCTCCTTCACTTCTTGCGATATCTCTTCCAGTTCAGCTGCAGGTTTTTTCTCATACAATTCCTCATTACATTCAGCAGAGCTACTTACTCCAGAAGTCAAGGTCATAAGTTGTTTATTCATTGCAAGACTCTGCTCTTGTAGGATTCCCAGAAGGTAGAATGTTCTTTCTATCTCAGCTAGTAAATTTCCATCCGCAGCCATTGTAATGTCTCAAGGTTCCCCCTAGGGGGAATCTAGTTACTTAGTAGTCTTTTCCCAACAATCTTTTACTTCACTACTTGTTTCTTTGTTTCCAACCACTTAAGTTCAATTGTATCACATTTAATCCAGAGAGGTCTTAAATAGCAAGCTTTTTCCCTTTAAGTTGCCCGTTTGACAGCTTTTGACAGCTGTCAAACTCCTTTCCTTTTCAACAGGCTCAAAGACAGGGTGCTCCCGGGCCCGGGAGGGGGGGGGGTTTACATGCAGCAAAAGAAAAACTTCTGAAAGTCCACTCTTACACTCCAGCTCAAAACTTCTTTTACCAAATCGTGGAAGTTAATGTTGTTTTTTTTAACTCACCCCAAAAGGGTAGGCACTCCAACTTAGTTCTACTTTTCCGTTGCTTTAGATGTCATGCAGTCCGGGGAGGCAGACTTCCTTGATTTATGCCTTTCCCGTTTTCAGCCAAATTCCCAAACTCAATATAGATATCCCGTTTAAATTTCTCAGTCTTACTCATGAGTATTATGGTCGAATTTCAGATTCAGGAAGGAATCGGCGCTCTCCGTTTATGGCGATGCGGCTTCACTCCGCGGGCTGGGTTGCGACTCTCAGCACCGCGCTCACTCCCGATGCCGCTCCGGAGCCTTTAAAAAGGCTCTTTCGCGATACTGGGGGGCGCAAAGGTGCCCACCGAGTCTCCTTGCTCACAGGCTTCTGCGCCTGTGATTTTAGGGGTCCCCCGCTCGCCGTAGCGGGTCAGACCCAAACCCGCGGAGCAGTCCTGCCTCGGAGCTCGAGGCAAGGACCGCCATTAAGTGCTGGCGCCGACCGGAAGTCCCACTTTGATGTGATTTTGAACTGCTAGGTTGGCAGGAGCTGGGACCGAGCAATGGGAGCTCACCCCGTCGTGGGGATTCGAACCGCCGACCTTCTGATCGGCAAGCCCTAGGCTCTGATTTGGTATGCAAATCAAGGGTGTGAAATCACACCAGAAGGCTTTGTGAGTCCTGGGACTCCCTCTCTGAGGCCTCTCAAGGCCCTAGACTAAGTTTACCAGACATCCTCGTTTTCCGGGGACAGTCCCCGGATTTACAAATCAGTCCCCATACAAAATCCATTGAAGTTGAAAAGTGTCCCCAGCTTCATTGAAAAAAAATCTGGTAACCTTACCCTAGACACCACCTCTGAGTCCCTGAGTGGCTTCAGACTTGACTTCCGGTGCTTCGCAAGGTACCAGAAGTCACGTTGGAGGCCCTGCTGTGTGGGTGCCAAGCACCCACAACAATTTTTGGGTGGGTACTCGGGCCATCAGGGCCACCTAAAATGGCACCAGTGGACCTGGAGTTGTAAAGTGTGGATCTGTGTCTGGAAAGAGGAGGGCAAAAGTTAAGCGTGGACAAGCCCTCTAGGTAGACAACACTGGTGTAGATGGACCAAAGGTCTGGATCAGTGTCCAGGATGCCATCACAAGAACGTAGCCAGACTTTGAAAGGAGCCGACCTCACTCTGAAGTCCTTGAATGGGGAAATTCATCTGCCAACCCCCTCCTAATGCAGGCAGCCTGCGAGGAGGCATCTCTGTCTAAATTTTCCCTCAAAAAAACACCTCGCCTCGGCTTGGCGAGGGGAAGAATGGGAGACGAGATCCTTTCAAAGCCCCCCTCAATTTCACGATGTGAGCAGCGGGCACGAACAATTGGCACTATTTATACGTGGCCTATTTAGCTCCCTGCCTGCGCCCGGCTGGCTTTTGTTCCTTGATTCAGCTGCAAATTTCTGCTTGTTCCCGACAGAATAGACATGCAGATGGCAGTTTGGATTCGGGGCGGGGCGGGCTCCATCTGTAGGCGCTCTGCTCGATTGGGTGGGTGTGGATCTGCGAGGGGGCTCCCAAAGGGCTTTGTCCTCTCAGGGTGGGCAAGATCTCATCCCTGTGCCTTCCCCAGTTGTAACGGGAGCCTGTAGGCGGAGAGAATTTGGAGGGTTGCCATCCGTACCCCTTTCTGAGGTGTCTCCAGTAATATGTTCCCTACAGTTCTGGTCGCCTCCTCTCAGAAAGGAGGTAAGAAGATGTAAAGGTGACCATAAAATGGCAAATGCAGTTCAATTTAAAGATTTCTCTGATGAAAATGTTGTTGTTGTTGTTGTTTTAGTCATTTAGTCGTGTCCGACTCTTCGTGACCCCATGGACCAGAGCATGCCAGGCACTCCTGTCTTCCACTGTCTCCCCCAGTTTGGTCAAACTCATGCTGGTAGCTTGGAGAACACTGTCCCACCATCTCGTCCTCTGTCGTCCCCTTCTCCTTGTGCCCTCCATCTTTCCCAACATCAGGGTCTTTTCCAGGGAGTCTTCTCTTCTCATGAGGTGGCCAAAGTCTTGGAGCCTCAGCTTCAGGATCTGTCCTTTCAGTGAGCATTCAGGGCTGATTTCCTTCAGAATGGAGAGGGTTGATCTATTAGGGACATCCTATTCAACAACAACAACACCCCACCCATCTGACTGGGTTGCCCCAGCCACTCTGGGCAGCTTCCAACATATATAGAAACAGAACAAAACATTGAACATTAAAAAACCCTTCCCTATACAGGTCTGCCTTCAGATGTCTTTTAAAGGTTGTCTAGTTACAGTGGTACCTCAGGTTACAGACGCTTCAGGTTACAGACTCCGCTAATCCAGAAATAGTACCTCGGATTAAGAACTTTGCTTCAGGATGAGAACAGAAATCACCGGCGGGAGACCCCATTAGCTAAAGCGGTACCTCAGGGTAAGAACATACCTCCAGAATGAATTAAGTTCTTAACCCGAGGTACCACTGTACTTATTTCTTTGGCTCGGGGGGAGGGTTGGGGGCAGGTCACATAGCCCCATACCCTCCAACATTTCTCGGATGAAAATAGGGATGCCTTAAGGAAAAGCGGGACATTCTGGGATCAAATCAGAAACCAAAGATGGCTTCTGTAAATCAGGAACTGTCTCTGGAAAATAGGTATACTAGGAGGGTCTGGCAAAGTGATCCACATCAGGGCAGAAAAAAAGCCCTTGATTTTACTGATGGCTTTGAGCAGGGGTGAGCAAACTTTTTCAGCAGGGGCCTGTCTACTGTCCCTCAGACCTTGTGGGGGGGGCAGACTATATTTTTTGGGGGGGAAATGAATTCCTATGCTCCACAAATAACCCAGAGATGCATTTTAAATAAAAGGACACATTCTACTCATGTAAAAACACGCTGATTCCCAGACCGTCCTTGGGCCAGATTGAGAAGGGGATTTGGCCGGATCTGGCCCCGGGCCTTAGGATGCCTACCTATGGCTTTGAGAAAGCCTACAATTCCTCAGGTAGATTTTGGCCCCAAAGTCATTGATGTTGCTTGAACCACAGCTTGCTTTGCGGTTCTGTTGCTGCGACCTATTTGTTACGACCAGGAATGTTCACCCGTTCTTGTTGTTTTTTTAATTGCCCTTCTGAGGAGTATCTAATAAACCGAGGAATCCAAACAAAGATGGTTTTATTGATTGGAACAGAGAAAAAACACCTGATGGGATTCGGCTCGGTTGCAAAGATCTGCCGGATAAACTGCTTACTTTGGCTTGCAAATTG